TCGTTATTTTTATCATTACTGTTGTTATTGTTACTATGTTATTGTTATAATTTATTATTATTATTATAATCATTATTATTGCTATTGCTGTTATTATTTTTGTTATTATTATTGCTATTATTATTATTATTATTATTATTATTATTATTATTATTATTATCATAATTACCATTGGTATTATTATTATTATTATGATTATTATTATTATTATCATTATCGTCATTATCATTATTATTATCATTATTATTATCATCATTATCATTATTATTGTTGTTATTATCATTTCTATCATTATTTTTAATATTATCGTATTTATGTATTTTTTCCTTTACTCTTTTTGCTCATTTGGCGCGAATTTTGCCGCTGAATCTCACAATCGCGTGTTTTTTTGTTTTTTTTTACCCAATCGCGCCACATGGGCTTTGCACATTTGGCATGCAAGGAAACAATAAGTAAAACATATAACCGTGTGTGTGTGTGTGTGTGTGTGTATGCATTCATATATCTGTATTCATATATATGTATATATATACATATACATATATATGTATATACATACATATATATATATATATATATATATATATATATATATATATATATATATATATATATATGGGTATGTCTGTGTGTGATTGTGTGTTTGTATGTGTTTTCTTTTTTCTTTGTTTTTTTTTTTCTCTTCTTTTTCCTCTCATGCAACTGCCTTATTAGCAAGATTTTCCACTTTACCTGAACCCTTTTTGAACTCTTAATTTGATAACCGATACAACTGTAACGCGGAAATCTTACCCGACTGAGTATTGTACAAGTCATTAATTATTATCTTTTTAATCTTGTTGGGAATGAATGAAATAGTATTTTGATAATTTCAGAGTGACAACGAAGGTTATAAGCACAATGGCGATGCAATCTATTTAAGTCACAGAATTAATAATAACACTGGCAACGGTGACGATAACGGCATCGGAAATAACAGTGATATTAGTAATGAAACAATGAAAAGATAAGAATAATAATAGTAAGCATCATTTATCCTTGTTAGTGACATTATTCATATTATTATAAGTTTCATCAACATCATTCATTATCATTATCAATGTTGTTGTTATTATCACTATTATTACTATTTTCATTACTATTATTACTATAGTTAGTATTATTATAATTTTTATTACTACTTTTAATACCGTTATCACTATAGTCATTATCATTATTATCATTATCATTGCTACTGTTGTTATGATTGTTATTAATATTATTACTATCAGTTTTTATTATCATCATTATTATTACTACTGATACTACCAGTTATTGCTACTATTGTCATTATCATTACTACTAATATAATGAAGGTAACAATACTACTAATAATAACAATAAGATTATGACGATAAGAGGAATTATAGCTATGATTATCATTTAAATTATCATTTTTGTTATTAGTTACTAACAGTTATCATTAACACTTCCAATATTGTTACTATTATTATTTCTATGATAAGTATCATCATTATCATTTATTATTATTATCATTATTATTATTATTACTATCATTGTTATATTTATCATTGTTATCATAATTATTATTAGCATTATCATCATTACTATTATTATTATTATCATCATTATCATAGCTATCATTATTATCATTATAATAATAATGATGATACTGCTACAAGTAATCCATTGATAATGAAAAGAAGAATGATAATGATAATAGTAAAGGAAACGATAGTCAAAATAATACACTAGATGCAAATCTTCGTAATATAATAATGATAGTATTAAGATTAATTATAATAATGATGGAATAATGGCGATAATTTGTAAATATAATGATAATAATAAGGCTACTCATATTGATTTTTATCCTAATGAAGAGTCTTATTATACTGATTTTTATTTCAATGATGATAACAGTATAATGCCAACAAAGTACCACTATTACTTATAATGACCAGAAAGCCAAAGGAAAAAGATGAATTTCTGATACCGTCTGATCATAATATTACGAGGCCGAATATGTATATTTTTTAATCAAATTCCGTCGAAATATGAGAGGTCATTGTTAATGACAAGAAAAAAAGTATACATAGCATAAAACCCCGATTGTATATAATTTTGTATTTGGTCTAATAATGATTAGGTTGTAGTTCTGAATGTGCCTTTTTAAAACTCTCGTTAATAACAACGATGATAATTACTACTGTATAGTTATCACTATTATCTTTATCATTGTTGTTATCACCATCATTAGGTCTCTCTCAGGTTATAATTGTTATTTTCACCATTCTTCGTTATAACAACTTACTTTACTATCCTTATTATAAAGCATTACCATTCTTTCTGTAATATCAACTATCATTATCAGAAATATTGCCGTCAGTACTACCAACTCGTGGTTTTAAACGCATTTCTAGGTGTTATATAATCTACTAAGAAGGTGGCCAATAGTACAAACACTTAAAAGCTGCTTAAAAAGAAGAGTTAATTATGTTATATAAATCTGTCTCACGCCATTGGCTTCCACGTCGTACCAGCTGCGTTCAAACACCCACACCCGCCCACGCTATTTATTTATTTCTACCTAAACGAAAGCGATTTCTAGTCAGCTCAGCCAAGAAAAGAAAAATACTGGACATGCGGAAGCCAGTCGTTTGCTATAAATAGAACTACCGTTTGTTTTAAGTTTAGCGCTGTCTCAGCTATTCATAGATACTAGCAGAACCTCACATCAGACAGCGTGGAACCTTTCTACTAACTTGCATGGCCTACTTTTCCCCATATGTGGGATTTCTATAAGCTACGTCTCGATAAACGATAGGAGATATCGCTCTGATTTTTTTTGCTGTTTAATTAAATGGGAATGATAAGGATGGTGTGGATACTTTTTTATTTTCCGACAAATTTAAGCACTTCCAGGCGATTTTTATTATTATTATTATTTTTTTGGTCACCCTCGTTCCGCATTGCGAATTTTCTCGTGTAATGACTTTCCTTTATAAATTTTTCGTCAGATGATAAACAATACTAAGCATAAATGATGAAGGAATTTTGTTCAGATGAAATCAGGCTTTATACGGCTTCCCAGGAGAAGAACTTAGAGAAAATGAATATAACTTAAAAGAGGGATTTCACGGTATATTTATTCCTATTTTGACCGGGTATTTTGAACAAAAGCTATGTAGGTTTCATGAAAAGATGGGATACACAATTTTAGAATATAGTACATAACGTCAAAAAATCGAGCAAAAAATCTGCTTCATGAGCAAAAAAGCCAAAAAAATGATACATATGTGTGTGTATTTACACATATATATATATATATACATATATATATATATATATATATATATATATATATATATATATATATACATATATATACACATATGTAAATATATATACATACATATATACATATGTATGTGTATATATATATATATATATATATATATATATATATATATATATATATATATATATATTCTGCCTAAAAATGAAAAGGAAAAAAGTTTATTCAGATTCAATGCATCGCGTTTGTTTATACAAGCTCCTCTTCCTGGTATTCAATTATTAAATAGCTTTTGTAGTGGAAACGGCTAAAATGTGTTTGATATTTTACAAGGATGTGATAAATATAATCAAAGGCTATATATGTACATAGTCTTTGAATATAGTGACACTGTAATGCACGCAAATTAGTCAAATAAAGAGAAAATTTCCCAGACTCGACCAAAACCGTATATTGTTTATGTGCCATGTAAGGCTTCTGCCCTTATTTGCACTGTGTCTTGAAGACGTGGATGTATTTTTTTCTTCTGAATATATAAATCGATAGCACTGGTCATTGTGCCTATTCGCCAAATAACCCCAGAAACTGCATGCTTTTTTGACATAACTAACGCCTAAGTAAAGAAAACAAATTGCTAATTGTGAGATTCTTAGTAATTATCGACAGCTATACCAATTTTTTTAGATAATATTGTCCCTTATATCAAAATAGTTAAGGTATCATAGGTATTTTATAATATTTCAGTCTGCAATTACTTTTCCCGCTATTTTCATGTGAATGGAGAAGGTATGGCTTTACACTCAGTGAGAATAAGAGTCCTTCTCCCTGTTTACTTATTAGAAAAGAAATAAATCACCCGATATTATCTAAAATGCATACAAAAAACTATCAAGGAATATATTCGTAATATCGAAATGACTTTACAGACACAAAGAACCTAAAGAGAACCTAAAGAGAACAAAATTAAAATAAGATTCCCGGTGTAATGCTGGGTGAGTGGCCCTCGCCCTGAGCAAGTGCCATCTGCCGGCACGAGGTGGAAGTGGTATCCCTGCCGTGATCTTAGCACGTGAGGACGGCTTCCTTGTCCTTCTTCGCATATTTTTAGTGTAAGTATCCCCTTTTCCGCCTTTTTTTCGCCCCTAGGTCTTAGGAGAGGCTACGTCCCGCCTGTTTCCGGGGAGGAATGGACGCCGGTGGGAAGAACGGCGGAAATATGCCCATCGGAAAACTAGGCCATGCGTTGAGTGGCGGATGTCAGGGCCTTATTTAGCCTTTGTGTGACGGACTTCGGAAACTGCAGCCAAGGGGACGTCGGACCAGGCCTTACTTCACTCGCATAATCCCCTGACCTTGGGTACTGCGAGGGTATTTTATTTATTTTTTTTTTAAAGGGAGAGAAAGGGGTGAAATCAGACGAGAGAGAGAGAAATTATTATACTCTTGGAAAAGCTGGCTCTCTCTCGGGGGGGATAGGCTTGCGTCATGCTTTTTTCTCTACCGCAGTTTTAAACTTTTCCCCCCTGGGTTTTTTTTCGGGGAATGGGCCGTTCTTCCTCCCCATTTTGCATTTATAGGAAAAAAAAATTGATGTGATCATAGGCCTACGGCGAAAAGATATCTTCAGATCGCGGAGAAAACCATTTTTTTTTGTTCTTGTGAGCCTATATTTCTTTCCACATTTTAGGAAGCTTTTCAGATTATAATCCCATGCAATACAATGTAAAATCAGTGAATGTCTGTATTTGGTAAACAAGTGTGTTAGCGAGAACCAAAAATGTGTTGATGAAAACCTGGTTAGAATCCCAGCAACCAGGGAAAGTCTGGTGGTCCTTGGTGTAAATCATAGAATATTGATTAATCTATTTTTGGCATGTATTTCATCAGGCCAATGTAGGTGGGCCAGAAGCTATGCTAAAGTTACTGGTATTATCTATTTTATTTAACCCTTTCAGATACCAGATACGATCTTTAAACATGTGTAAAATAAATGGCAGAGCTGAAGTTTTTTTCAAGTATATTGGATTATATTTTGTAATGCAATAATGGAGTATTTTAATTTTGTGGATGCATGACGGCATTTCTCAGGCCTGAATTGGAATACGCTTTCTTAGCCCTGTGCATGTGGTGTTCAGTCCTAGGCTGGAGTGGGTGTTCAAGGTTATTTAATATAATTGTAGTTACATACATAATAAAAAGAGGGGCTAAGCTTTATATGGAGAGAGATCAGTAAACTTGTAGGCCTTTTAGTTTTACCGGAGCTTTTAGCAAGATGTTTAAATGTGACCACTTTTGTTCCTCTCTTCATGCAATTAGTTAAACAATATAGAACAATTTATTTTCTAATATAACTTGATAAGGTTTCATTTTCTTATGGCCATCCAATCTTGCAATTATTAGTCCTCCTTTTGGTTATGCACTCTGTAATGTGTGTGAATCTCCTGTTATTTTCTATTGTAAATATGAATGAATGTATTGGTAATGTTTATGAAGTGTTTGCACTCCTCTGAAACTGTCCCTATTACTTAAGCCATTCCGGGGAAATCCACAAACATTGCTCTATGAACCGAAAACTTTCCTTACTTGGACCCCCCCCCCCCCCCCCCGACCCTTATCCGATCTCCATGTTTTCTGATCATGAGCTCTGCCCCCCAGACCCAAACACGATCACCATGGACTTATTCTCCAGGCAGCATTTGTTGCGGCCTGTTTTCTCTTTCTGGTGTTATTTTTTGCCTACACAGATTATTTCATGTATAAGTGAGTGTGGTTTGTCTGTGATTAATATAGTGCCATTACATTTTCCTTTAATTGTATGCCAAAGTATACCACTCCCTGTACCCACCATTTATTAGCACTTCATGCCAACTTATAGAAGTGAGAAGAGCCAAATTTTTCAATATTAATTCTTTAAAATCTTAGGCCATATTTTTCCAATTTAAAGTAAGGCATACTAGGTTTCTAAATTTATCGGTGAAAGGTTATCAAGTCAGGTCAAGAGCAAAAGCACCCCCCCCCCCTCCTCCCTTCAAAACCATCTTTTCTTAGTAGAAGATTACTGGTTACTCAGTCTCTCCACATACGTCATTATGAACCAAAAATCTTGCTAATCAAAAGTTACACTCCTGAACCCCAAACCAGTTGCTGTATTTCCCTAGCCAGGGTTCCATACCCTCAATCCCAGCATATTGTCATGCTCTTAGTCTGAACAATATTTGCAGCAAACGAATTGGTTAATTTTTACAGTATGGATGTACTAAGGATGTGCAAATTAAGAATAAAGGACAAAAAGTCTTTGGTACAAAAAATAGTCTTGAGACACAAATGGCAATATCACAAATAAGGAAAAAATATCATAGCCTAAATCTGCTTGGTGCTCCTGAGTTTCAGCTCCATGTGCCCCCCATCAACCCTTTTCTAGGGCAGTTCCCAGAAGGCACACCTAGTCACAGCAACTTGGATTCTTGAATAAATTGTGTGACATGGAGTTGGTCTGTGATGAGTACATCTGTACTATAAAGAATTGCCAGATATTTTCTTTATTTCTGACCTTACCCTATGCATATGCCAATTGTTTCATGTATCAGTGACTGTTTTTTCTCTTTAAGAGTGTCCTTAGATTTTCTTTATCTTAGTGCAGTCATGATGTAAATATATACCATTTACTGTCATCTTTCTTTCAGTTTAGCCTTTACTCTACATACATACATGTTTTGTTACACAAGACTATCATGCTACACTTAGGCACACTATTATTTCTGCTTTAATTCTAGGTTAACTTAGAGAATAATTTTGTCCTCAGAATACATCATGCCGTCCGACGCCAAGAAAAAGAGAGATCAGAAGAAGAAGGAAGCAGCCAAGGCCAAGGCAAGCGGCAAGAAAATAGAGCCTAAGGAGGACAAGAAGGTGAGAAAATAAGGCTACAATTTTTGTTATTTTGCAATTTCTAATAGTAAGTACTATAAAATTTTGCTATGACTTGATGGATAATTTAAGTAATTGATAATGTATTGTTTATTGTTCCTAGGTAATGATACTTGATCTTTCTTTAAAAAGTCAGATTTTTCATTTATTTATTTATTTTTAATATATCAAAAGTTATAGTTTTACCTAATAAATGCTACTCTTGTTCATTGCTAGAAAACTCTCTTAAGGTTGGATCCTAGAATTAAACCAAATTTTATTGGACTTTGTGTGATGGCAGAAGCATCTACTTTCTTTATAGTTTTTAGTTATTTTGCAAATATGTAATAGTTAAATAACCTGGAAATTTCCACCATTTGATGATAGTAATTTCTAGCTAATATTCACACTTGTTTTTTTAATGATCTGACACCTTTCTCCCATAAGAACCTTTACAAAAATTGATAGGTAAACTGATATTACACTGCCACTTTAAATGGTTAGGAATTTTGGGGTTACTTTCCCATTTCAGGATTTCAAAAACATGTATGGGTCAAGTTCATTACTCATCGCTGTTGGGTTAGGCTAGAGAATTAACGTTATCCAGCACAGAATTCTGATGTGATACTCCTGTTACATCTTGGTGATAAACTGATATCCCATTTTATGATTGGCTCAGTTAGTTAGAAGCTTTCTTTTTAATTTGAAAAGGTTAACCCAATGCCACCAGGCATGTTATATATGTACATGCCATACCCACTGTGAGTTTACTTGTTTGATTGCTTTACACATAGATGGCTACACTTGTACTAAGTCACCAATGAGCCAATTAAGAGTACTTCCTGTCCCACCCATTTACTGTTTTCCTTTATTTACAAAAATATTTTACTTTGTTATTTTCCTGTTACTAATGTATATAAAATTATAGTAATTATAATGTCTATAAGGTCACAATGTCTACTAATTGACTCTTGTGGCTAAGCACTAGCAGAGTCATCTAAGTGCAGAAAAAAAAACTTCCCTGTGGCATTGGGTTAAGTTTTATTTTATTATTATAATTTTTTAATGGATTTGTTTTAATAAGATTTCCCACATTTTCATTATTTGTGGAAATGGCCAATTATTTATATGGCCTGTCATTATCTTACTTTCAAATGAAATAGATATTTTCTGGAATTACTTGATTAATGTATTTGAATGCATATTTTCCTGCATGAATCAGAACAGTGGCTAGTAAGTCAAAGAAAAAGAAATTGGCTTTCCATACAATACAACTTCAGGAGTCTGGTTTGTTGATACTGCCCAGTAACCTTGATGCAAGTACATAGTAGGATTTGAAAAATATATAGTGTATAAGGGGGGGGAAATTAACAATGTTTTTTGCAAAATCCAGTGTAATCAAAGAGGCCTGGGCTCCCTTCACCATGACTCACTGTAACAAAATATTTAATCAAAGTATTAGGTCTTGTATTTTCATCCATGTACCATATCTAGTGTGGATAACAAAGTTTTCAGTCGAGGTTTAGTCTTTCTGAATACTTCAACTTTTCTGTCAGCTGACTGTATTCCACTATTATATCTAATAGATGTGTAATCAGAATTCTGTTTTTCCTGCACAGATAATTTTGTATCCTGGTTCATATTATTGACTTATTGATTTGTTTTTACAGCCCCAAGTCAATGGATCTGCAAACAACTCTAAGAAAAATTCAAGAGAAACCACACCCATGACAAATGGCAACTCTGAGGCAGCAGAGAACCTAAGCGCAGAAGGTAATTTATTTTAGATGAACCCAGCCGTCCAGGATTTATGTCCCCTGTAGTTTTTTGTGAATCCTGTTACATACAGATGGCTCCATATGTACTTAGCCGGCAAGAAGTCTATCAGTAGCCCTAGTGACTGATCTTGATTTCCTATTTCCTTGCATTGGTGGTTAAAAGTATTTTTCTTTTTAATACAGTTGACATTGATGCTGTTGTTATTGTTATTGATGCTATGATTGTTAAATTATTAAAATCTCTAACATTTAAGACAATGAAACGATGCAAAAGACCCTTTCCAAAAGTCAAGGATAAACAGGTGAGATAGGTATGACTAATAACTGACTCCTTGGTGACTAAACACTTGTAGAGCCAACTTTGTGTAAATACAATAAATAAACTTGTATTACCATGATTTCTTGCCATATGTGCTGATTGGATTGAGTAGATTTGACTATATTGTACAAATTATTCAATCAGTTCTGTTATATTTACCGTGTATAAAGTATTACATTTTTACTTGGTGACCTTGATACATTTCCTTCCTTTTTCTTTTGGACAGAACTGCTTTGCCGCCGTCTCGAAGAAGACATGAAAATTGCTGCTCAAGCACGATCATGCACTGGTGTCCTGGGTATCCACTCACGTGCTCGGGATGTTAAGATTGACAACTTTTCCATCACTTTCCATGGTTCAGAGATGCTGCAGGACACCAAGCTTGAGTTGAATTGTGGACGAAGGTGATTTGGAAACCTTTGATTTTTGTTAATTTATGCATGATTTATGGTATGTTTGAAATTTATATTTGATTGATTTAAAGATTTTTACATTTTGATAGATATGTAGATTATCCTGTGTATTACAGGATAAGTTAATTGTAGTATTAGTCTGATCAGTAATATGTTTACAGATATGGACTAATTGGAGAAAATGGTTGTGGCAAGTCCACTCTGCTAGCAACAATAGCAAATAGGGAGGTGCCTATTCAAGATCACCTTGACATCTTCCACTTAGTAAGAGAAATGCCAGCATCAGACAAGACTGCGCTTCAGTGTGTTATGGAGGTTGATGAAGAGAGAATACGCTTGGAGGCTTTGGCTGAAGAGTTGGCGATGAGTGGAGATGATGGTAAAGTCTATTTTTATTCAACATTCCCCAATATATATATATATATATATATATATATATATATATATATATATATATATATATATATATATATATATATATATAAATATATAAATATATATATATCACAACCATTGAACCCTAGGCAAGAGGCTTCGGAATAAATTGTGAATGATGAAGCGTGGGGATGTTTTATTATTTGCGCTTTTGGTTTATTTAGAGGTTTTCCATTTTCCTTTTTTTTATTTGTGGGACATACAAACAATATGCTCTTTCAATTTTAAATTTATTTTCCTGGTTGCTGAAAAATGTATATTTATGCAAAAGGCCCCTTTTCAGCTAAGTAGCAACTTTTTGGCCGTTACTAATTTAATAAGATGAATTACAAACCCAGCATTAAGCTATTTGTAACATCATTAAGTTCATAGACTAATCTCTCTCTCTCTCTCTCTCTCTCTCTCTCTCTCTCTCTCTCTCTCTCTCTCTCTCTCTCTCTCTCTCTCTCTCTCTCTCTCTCTCTCTCTCTCTCAAAGCCATAATTCATTTAGTAATTTCTAGTCTGATACATTTTTCTTTGAATCTACAGAGTCTCAGGAACAACTTATGGACGTCTATGACCGTTTGGATGAAATTGGAGCCGATACAGCCCAGGCCAAGGCTGCCTATATTCTTCATGGTCTTGGCTTCACCCATGCCATGATGGAGAAGGCTTGCAAAGATTTCTCTGGAGGATGGCGAATGAGAATTGCTCTTGCTCGTGCTCTGTTCGTCAAGCCCCATATTTTGCTCCTTGATGAACCTACCAATCACTTGGATTTAGATGCCTGTGTGTGGCTGGAAGAGGAGTTGTCGAAATATAAGCGTATTTTGGTCATCATATCTCACTCGCAGGTCAGGATTTGCCCCCTCGCATGGTTTTTATACATGATAACGTTTTATATTCTTTGACTGTTACCCCATGTTGTTTGAGGTTTCATTTGTTGTTGCTTTGTTTTTTCAGGATTTCTTGAATGGTGTTTGCACAAACGTTATCCACATGGAGAAAAAGAAGCTGAAGTACTATGGTGGTAATTACGATGCCTTTGTACGAACAAGAATTGAACAACTTGAGAATCAAATGAAGCAGTATCAGTGGGAGCAGGACCAGATTGCTCATATGAAGGTGAGAAATTTACTGAAGTGTAATATTTTTTATTAGGTTTTCAGGTTATATATCCCTTTTAGGTGAAATTGTTTCAGAATAGAATGTTTATATATATGTGTTCATTTATACTGAAAAGTAGAAAATTTTGCATAGAAATAGTCATAAGGACTTCTATCACACCTACCCACACACCCACCTAAGTGTGGAGAGAGACTTTACAAATGCATGCACGTGCGTTCACTCTCACTCCCACTTCATACTTTCACATACGTACACATGAATCTACATTTACTTAGTCTTTCTCAAATTTTTGCAGAACTACATTGCGAGGTTTGGTCACGGTTCGGCTAAGCTCGCACGTCAGGCACAGTCCAAGGAAAAGACCCTGGCTAAGATGGTAGCAGGTGGTCTTACTGAGAAAGTTTCTAGGGACAGGACACTTACCTTCTACTTCCCAGAGTGTGGGACAATTCCCCCTCCAGTAAGATTATGGAAGATGTTTTTTATTGAATATTGAATTATTACTATAACACTTCATTTGTGTAAAGAATGTGTAGTTGCAAATGTAATAATGTGTGCATAATGCTTGACTTATACTATCTCGATGATTTCAGGTAATCATGGTACAGGACGTCAGTTTCCGCTACAAGGAGAGCACACCGTACATTTACAAGAATCTGGAATTTGGTATCGATTTGGACACGAGGCTTGCCTTGGTAGGGCCAAATGGTGCAGGAAAGTCAACCCTTCTAAAACTTCTTTATGGAGATCTGACCCCAACTCAAGGCATGATCCGTAAAAATTCCCACTTGAGAATTGCTCGTTATCATCAGCATCTCCATGAACTTCTTGACCTTGATCTTTCTCCAATTGATTACATGATGACTCAGTTCCCAGAGCTGAAGGAACGTGATGAGGTAAGTTGTGGATTTGAAGTTGAGGATAAGGCAAGTGTTAACCAAGAACGTCCTTGGTGTAATGAATAGAGCATGCACATGTGCTGTGTCATATATATTATAGTCTGCTTTGTTTATAATGTGTCCTAGATGAAACCTTTTCATGCCTTTTAACTTTGAAATTTTTACCTTAAGGTACGAAAAATTATCGGGCGCTACGGATTAACTGGGAAGCAGCAAGTATCACCTATTCGTCAGTTGAGCGATGGACAGCGTTGTCGAGTCGTGTTTGCATGGTTGTCTCATCAAAACCCTCACTTGCTCCTACTTGACGAACCTACAAATCACTTGGATATGGAAACCATTGATTCTTTGGCCGATGCAATTAATGACTTCGATGGAGGCATGGTCTTGGTTTCTCACGACTTCAGGCTGATTTCTCAGGTAAGGTTTAGAAGAAAAATAAATTTAATAAGCAAGTTTTTCTCTTGTGGAATATATTCAATAAGGAAGAATAGAAGTTGGTGTTTTTTATATACTGATTGGTAAATGGAACAATGTGTCCATATTTTATAGGTGTTAGTAATCTCATACTTATACATGTTATCCTTTGTGACATTGCATACTTTTTAAAATTTATTAAATCTACCATTTGCTCTACACCTAATTTTTAAGACTTCTTTTAATAGAAAAAGCCACTCACTTTATTATTATTACAGAATCTTGAACATGTAAATAATTTTCCATAGTCTTATAGTTTCATTTTTATCTCTATTACAGGTGGCGGAAGAGATTTGGATTTGCGAGAAGGAGACTGTGACCAAGTGGGAAGGAGACATTTTGTCATACAAGGAAATGCTGAAGAAGAAGGTTCTAAAGGATAATGAAAAGAGAAGGAAAATGTTCTAATTGGAAGTAAACTACTTAAATATTATTTTGGAAATCACAAAAGGATTTAAAAGAATTTGGAGAGTAAAGAATGATCCACCCAAATTTAAAGATACATACTTTGTGCAACTAAATTGCTTGTTCTTGGGCAAGTCACTTAGAAATTCCTTTTGATCATAAAAAATATAAATATATATCGTGTATTATTATTATTATTATTATTATTATTATTATTTTTTTTTTTTTTTTTTTTCATCTTTTATGGTGTTTTGAGAATGTCATAGTGTTGATCATTGTCTATCAGGAAAAATTTATAATTGGCATGCTCTTTAGTGATGCATTTATTTCCTGTATGTGTGGTGTGATATCAAAATTTATTTTTCTTTTTTGAAAGTAACAGCTTAACATATTTGAATATTTCACTGACCATTTGTTGATCATCTTTGATATGGAAATCAGAGCTAATCAGGTAGATCTGGGAGACAATATGAAATAAATATGTATAAAATGTATAATATCTGTGTACTGAAGACTGTTATCACTGTGATCGTGTGTGGTTATTTCTGAAAGGGTGCAAGAGCTTTTTTTTCTTGAATTTTTCTTTTTCTGAAAGCAGTTGACAGAGTGAGAGAAATAGAAAGTTTATTTTATCATTTGCACAAATGTCACTCTTCCATTGGAGATTTAGGGCAATTGATTTCTTTTACAATGTTCAGTATCTAACCTTTTGAAAGAAGGGGCTTGCATGTATCCCCAACTTTATGTACTGGTATATTTGTAAAATTGTAATACCCTTGACAGTTTGCTGTTCTTGTAGATGTGACGGAGTTGAATAATTGATATTTTTATTTTATGTATATTCTTTACTCTAATAAAAATCAGAAGAGTATGTTGTAGTTAGCCATCTGTCAAAATTGAAGAGGCACCTTTTCTTGATTGGATTGAAAATAAAATGAAAAAAAGGAAATCAACACTTCGGTTTTATGTATGTTTATTTGCAAGGCATTTTGTGTGTTGATGTGATACATGTATTTTCCAGATTTGTTAAATCTAAAGAGTTCTGTGTAATGAGTATTAGTTTGAGTGATGAGTCTGTGTAAGAAACATTTAACTTGAAATTGTTTGGGACATTTTTAAATTAAAATATATGCTAGAAATATATGTTACCACTTCTAGATTTATGTTTGCAGTTATACTTGCCCTAGCCATTTTGTTGTGCAAGCAGAATGGTCCCATTTAACTGTAACAGACTAGTCCCAGAATGTTGGCAGGAATAGTTTAACTTTTCATTATATTCTTTTAGCCTATTTGTTCTGCTTATTTTCGAACATGCAAAAATATATCCTAAAATCTCGTCTCGGCCAAGCTTCGTAACTTTCCAGAGGTAGAGGGGTCTAAGACTCTTGTCTGATTGAGAGGTGTACAAGTTCGAAACTTCTATACCAAGGAAGCAGGAGTAGACTGTATCGTTCCACAATATTTATAAGTGACTGTATGCATACATATTCCCTAACTGCATCCTCTTATTATTTATACATTTTTCATATCAAGGCTTATGCAGATAGACCTACATCTGCGCTTATTTCTCTTTCAACCATACAATTAGGTAAATGGATAAAAGATATTGCATGATTTAATTATAGTCTCTTCAAATTGGCTTGTGACATTACTGTGAAAGTTTTTTAGGCCGTTCTTGCAATGCCTAAAGCTTTGTTGGTTATACAACAAATACTAGATTGTACAGTACTTACTCTCTTGCAAGTAAAAGATGACAAACTATTGTGCATTCTCTTTATAAAACAAGCCTGTTTGTATATTAGCATTGCACACTATGTAGTGCCAATGTTCTGTAAAGACTTTTGGCTAACAAACACAGTTTACTGTGTAAAAATTATAAGCATCTTTTAGATGTATATCTATACAATATATCCTGGGATGTAGAATTGAGAAAACAAAAGTTCAGTAAAATCTAATCAACA